GATAACTTAACACTTTTTAAAATCTTTTCTATCAACTTAACTTAACTCAGTTAAAAATAATAATTTACTTTCCCAGGATTTTAATGTTGAAAACATCTGTGAACAATTTTGCAGTTGAGTGTAGTTCCGGGGCGGTCGGCTTATGAATGGACAGTATAATAATATAATATAACTAATAAGAGTGTTATACATACATACATTCATACATAGGTACATACATACAAACAGACAACCAAACGGGAACGCGCGTGCTACCTTTCACTGCTCAATACAAATGATTAAGTTTACTTTTACATGTCCGTGCTTTAACGATATTGAAGATTTAATGACTTGTGAAATATCGGTTATTATCTGATTGAATTATGTGGCCAAAGTAAAACGCCACTTGTTGAATCAATGAAGTTCACGACTATTTAAGTATTTAACCATATACCTACCCATGTAATATATTATAAAATTATACAAGCGTAATGCAGTTTTATTTTTTTAAACATTTTTTATCAGCTGTCGTATCATATTATATCACCTATGTACCTACATATGTTGCGTATGACAAGTCTCATAATAATATTGTAAGGACGTTAAAAAAATGTTTCATGGGCCGAACATTAATCGTGTAACGATTTTTGACGGAATCGGGCGAGGAGGATGCGGGAATAATAACCACTGTGATGAGTGTGAATATTTTTCGAAAACACTATACGTTTATATACGAATGTTACTGTAAAAAAAATACAGTCATAATAATTATCGCAAGGGAAAAACGTGAGACTGCATTATTTTAATAGAATCACTCAACAAGTCTTTACGACTCTTACACTTTTCTAGACTATATGCAATCGTAACAGAAATATATAATATTTAAAAACGTACGTTCCTACCTATACCTAATTCAAAATAATATACATAGGTAGTCTATCATAAATATAAAATAATTTCCACTGTATATATTTACATAATTATACGCAGAATAGAGAAGCCTGAAAAAATGGACAAAAAATAAGTGTTGAAAATCAACAATCTTCACCGCCGACTGTCAATCCCTTAAAAAAATTACATCTACTTTAAATAAGTCTTGCTACTCGTATGTATAAAAAATACTGTGAGTTTGTTTGTACCTGATAATCTCGAAATCTACAGAACTAATTGGCACGCCAATTACCACACATATTCCTTATGAGTTATGAGTTATGACACTAGGGAAGTGTTTATAGCGTCGTTTTTTTTTATCCCAAAAGGTGGCTCACGCAGGAATTTCGTTTTGGCTCACGAAAATCTAATATATTTTTGTTTTTATATTATACAATAGACATTGGTTACAGAACTAAAAGTGACTTTTATACAATTTTGAATTTATACACATAAAAACTACATTTTGTTTAGCATACTTAAGTTGTTTAAGTGTATATTTTTATACCTACTCAAAAACTACTCAACCGATTTTTACGAAAATTTCAAAAATTATTTTCAGAATTCTTGGAGAAAACAAAAATAGTATAGTACGTAATTATAACCACATTAGTAAATAAACCTAATCTGTTAAATGTTCTCGTGTGATGTGTTATACCAACAGCTAGAGGTATACTTATGTAATATAAATCTATATTATAATAAACAATACAAGTGATAACTTTTAGTAATTAAACAATACACAACTTATCAGTTTTAATTTCATATACAGTCGAGTCTTGGTGTCTAAAATTTTGAAATATTGTCAAGTTCTGTTTGAGGTATATTAACTCGAAAAAAACATTAGTTGAATTTATTTTTATTCCCCTTGAGATTCGAGTTATCGATACCAGTCTGTGTATTTATTTTATTTATTTAGTGTATTATTATATAACCTACATTTAAATGTATAATTACTAATACGCCCTTATATGCATCGAACCGCATACAACAACACTATCAGATCTTAGACTTCAGACTGTCGACGAAGTGGCAGTACATCTTCTTACAAACTTTTCCATCCTCACCTTACGAACCACAAGAATCCGATTATTCTTGAACTTAACTGGGTAAACATCCCTGGAAATCTGTAGAAAAGAATTAAGAGCTGCTAGTGTCACGGTTCAGCTTGACTAAACTGATACAAAAAAAAAAAAATACAAAAAATGTTAACTCATAGTGTATGTATTTTATAAAAAGCTGAACAAATTTATCATGTCTGGGTGGGTAACTACTTTCCTCAAGATTACAGGTCATATCTATTATTTTTGTTTTTGTTCTATGCTCAAATTGTTAAAATTACTTTAAGCTCTATGATTTTAGATACTTGAAAAATTCCTCTGAGAAGAGTTACACATTTGTGTAACATTCCACTGACTTATACAGCACTATTAACCGTAATACATTGACGGATTTTTTACTATATTAAAACTACAGTGCGTGTGTGTTGATTTATTATTTAATGGCTAACCATAAAATGTATAATGTTTATGTAAACAGACGAAAATGTTGAACATATTAATATGAACCATATTGTGGTAGAAATTCGTTTTTCTTTTATTTCGTTTGTAAGAGTTATTATTAATTTAGTACATTTTTACATAGTACATCGGTATCGTTGAATTCGCCAAATCTAATTGTTTTGATTTTTAACTCCTAATTTCAGGGTGTACAACAATTTAAACCTATCCAAGTTCCCAAATATATTAAAAATAAAATTACTATTTTTTTGATGACTTGAAACACACGCATATTACAATAATGTATTAGTTAATTTATGATACAATAATGTCATGCAAACAAATTAACTAATAATTATATAGATGACCAGTAATTACGTGATCACGTTGAAATAATATTATGTTATAAATGTATAGTAATACTATATTTGATTTTCTACTACTATAATATGCTTATAATATTTATGTTCATTACGGTTTACGTTTCTACCATTATTTTTGATCTGAGTAAACAGTAAACAATTAACATATAGGTTTATTGAAAGAAAGCTTCACAACTGAAATACAGTTAAACAAAAAAACGATTAGTAATAAGTATTAAATATAATAAGTTACAATACATTAATATGTTTTAAATAATACTTAACGTATGTCCATATGCTAATAAATACTATATAAATAGTAAAAACAATAAACATAAAATTACTATATCCAATGACAAAAATAATAACCGTAAAATTTGGCTTACAGAATTTTAAAATATTTTATTACTTAACAATACCTTGTAATAGTTATAATATATAGTAATAATAGATAATAATACTAAAATAGTAAATAGTTATAACTAAATAATAAATCGCATTTCAATGATACCTAACTATTAAATGTTTACATTTCATAAGGATTATTTCAAGGTAAACATTATTATACGTGCCCAAGTATACATTATACAGGGTGATTCACCAAGTACGGTCAGCTTAAGACTATCAATTTAAATTTTTGAGATTATTTATACTATTTATTAGGAGTGTCCAGTGGCAAACCAAACTACTGTTTTGACATTATTATGTCTTATGTCTGGGGGTCAAAAAAAATTTGTGTAACGAAAAAAATGCAGCAACGTTTTTTATGCACTTGCCGTGTGCTAGAAACTTGAAATTTAAACCACAACTACTTATAATGGTCTCGTGCAAAGTATGATTTTAAAAGTTGAAATTCATCCCCTTTCACCTCCATTCATAAGACATATTAATTATCTTATTTTTTCTCAAAAGGTAGAAATTATTTTACCTCCCGAATTCACCAATGCCTAATATACCTACATAATATACATTAATACACATTATTTGTTTTACATATTAATTGGTTAGCATAATGCATAATCCCGAATAGATATATTTTAGTAAATTGCTTATTTAATTAACTGCCACGGTAACAAACAAACCGTGTTTAAATACACACGAAAAAAACTTACCCACCAGTAGGTACGCCTATATTGGCGTCATCAATACAACGAGATGTGTTGACTAAATAAGCTCTCCATAAGCTTAACCCTCTGAAACAGTTGATAGAAGGAGTGCCGCTAGAGAGTTAGATTAGAATCCTAAATCTATTTTTCACATTTACGAACTGTATGTTTTAGAAAAAAATAGTGGCTATTTAATCCACTCAACGTGAAATCTATCGATTTTAATCAACAGGTAAATAAACGGAAGGTAAGTTATCGACCCCCAGGCTATTGGCAACATTTCTTATTTATTTTATTATTTGTTTATTGATAGACAAAAAAAATTTCAAAATGAGAACGCCCTTGTTTACTATTTTTAGTGAAAAATGTTTATAAAAATGTTGATAGGTACCTAATTCCAAATTCCAACGAGTAGTTTTTCAAATATTTAAATGTTATTATACACCAATTAAAAAATCCTTAACAATGGTTGTACCAAAGTATAAAATATATGTAGGTAATATTGGATATAACGGATGTTATACTTTGTCTATTTTTACAAATTATAAATGTTGATAGATTAATATTAATAACAAACATGTTCAAATCACCGAAGCCCTCATATCATTCAAACCCATTATTATGGATCTATTATCCATATCTAGTACACAATTAAATAACTCAAAAAATGATAGTTCGAATTTTTTGATTTTGATGCATCTACATTTTTAGAAAAATTATTCAATAATTAACAGTTGAAAATGGAATTTCTCTTTAGAGAAAACAGAAGTTGGTATCTCCACAGAAAACTGCTTAAGTACTATGCAAAATCTCAATCACTTAAAAGTATAGTCTTCAAGTGTATTTAAAAATAAAAATAAATCAAATTTTTAATAACTGAATTATTGAAAAAAGGGGAGGAACATACTTCATAAATCAGCCAGTACATATGAGTTTTTTTCAAATTAAGATTTTAAAAAGTCATACCTAATTAATCACCTAAATTAACACAATAAAATAGAAAAATTGACATTCTTACATTGTTACTTAATAAAATAGAAAAATAATTCTCTATAATATGATCATAAGTGTCATGTTTATTATACTTAACTAGAGTTTTGAAGTACCTAAGTATTTATTACCATTAATGTTTTAATTTAATCGTATGTTTTTAAAAATTAACCACACTATAGAAAAAAGTTTAAAGAAATATTTGTTATAGCAAAGTAACTAAGTTACTGGTTAAACTGAAAAATTATTTATTATTAAGTTTCAATATGGTTTTATGAGTACAATCCAAAATTAATGACCGAAACTAATTTTTAGTACATACAATAGCTTCACATATAATATGCACATTCCACATAGTTTAAAATTATAGTCGAAACACTTTTATTAATGCATATTTATACTACTAAATATATGGTTTAAGATTATTTCAAACATTTTCATAAGCACGATAAAATCATACAATAACAGTATTATACAATTTTTGAATTATACCTACTGTTATTAAATACCAACATTTTTTATTATTAACTATTTATAATACCTACACATACAGAATAAATATATACATTAAACCTATTGGAAGGACATGTTTCAACAATTTGATTTTTATTATTTTTTATTCATATTCACCTAAAACATTCTCAATTTTTTAAGGAAACATTATCATTTTTATCATTGTTTGAATACCACAATAGATATATATTTAATAAATAATAATGCATGATTTATATTACAACCTCTCACTGTGTTTTTAATAAATATAAATTTAATTCATTTTATTGAAAGTATTTCGATTTAAAAAATATTTCTACTCTCAATTTGGTTTTTTTTTTAATGAAATAACAAAATGAATAGTGAAAAAAATTTTAATTTTTAGCTAAGAATAAAAATTTAGAAAAAAACATACCTGCGAATTTTAAATAGAGAAAATAGGGGGAAAAACAGTCTGTATTTAAGATAAAAGTGATTGTTTTTTTTTTGTTATTTGGATTTATAATTTCTTGTTTCGTCTTAAGTTATTTATGTTTTTTAGTTATTTCAACAAAATTTTATTTTACATTATCTTTTCAATAGTGAAATCTTTCGTAATTTAACGGTACAGGGTAAGGACGAGCTTTTGAAAATTAATTTATCGTAATTTTGAAACAAATTACGAGGTAACAATAATTTATATTTCATATATAACGACGATTAGAAGATATTTTTTTTGATATGTGTCAAATTATTGGCACCTTAACATTTCATAATATATGACAGTGAAAAAATTCTTCAAAGTTAAAACTAAATATATAATAATAAAATATATGGGAAGTAAAAAAGAAAAAAACATTTTTATAAAAGAAGAGAGTAATATACTGAGATTGATCTTTATAGTGCGTAGGAAAAAAAAACCAAAAAATTGACACTTAGTATGTCACCCAGTGGGAGGGGAAGGGGACCAGATGACCTTCTTAATAAATGACCTATTATATATAAGTGGATACCAGCGCCTCAAGAAGTCTGTTCCCCAGTAGGTCATGGGGTTCGGTGGAGATACAATATCATAGTTGATAGTAGGTACATAGGTAGGTACACGACTTATATTTTGTTTCTAAATTATTTTCAAAGGGGAGGGGCCCCTAAACCGCGTCGGCGGTTCGAGCAGCATATCAGCGTGTTCCCAAGCTGGCTAAGATGAGCGATGCCTGTTCGTCTACCGACCGGCTGGGCTGAAACGTGAGATTCGGTATCTTCTTGCCAATTCCACCACCGCCGGTCATCTTGTTCCTCCGGTTCCGGTTCAGATCGTGAGGTGTCAACGGTTCGTCCATCAGCCGCAGGATGTGAGTCTGGTCCGAGCTGTCGATGGGCGCCACAGAAATGTCCCTGACTGCTCGGAACCGGCCGCAGTTGTTCAGATGTTCGTTCTCCAACCGGAAAAAATTCCAAACGAATCTTCTGCAGTATGCATAGAACATAATAGAAGTATACACAAATATTATATAAAATAATGTATAGTAACTAGAATATAGAGCAACGATTTAGATTTATTTTTATTTTATTTTTTTAACTAAAAGGTATCAAAATATGCCATATAATATACAATCAATATCGTGAAAATATGACAGAAATATACAAAAAAAAAAATCTTAAATTGTGTATTATGGTAAAAAAATCACAATTTAATAGTTTATACAATTATGACTCAAAAATAATTTTAAAAAAATTAAACAACTTATAATTATAATTATTGGCATCCACTTAATAAACGAAAACTGTTGTAATATATAATTTAATATTATTAAAATGTATTATCACTATTAGTCCCCACAAAATATATTATTCAATTTTATGCTTGACAAAATATTACTTTATATATTGTTTGTACATTTTCGCTTCAATATGCAATACATTTTGAATTTTGTCAAAATATACAGTAATATTCAAAAACAAATCGTCATTAGCTTCAAACTATTTTAATTCGTTAAGATTACTGACAAAAATCAGAAAAGTGAGACTGCATCTGCATTTGTATAAAAATCAGCACTTAAATTCATCAAACTTAATCGACCTAATTTCACCATTGATCCGTATAAATGATAATGATAGTTTTTGATAGAAAAGTCAGGATATTTTAATATAATATATTAATTATTCGTGTTTTTTTAGAAGCCATCCATTAGGTACGTACCTAATGTATGGTATTATTCGCATGTATAGTAAATACCATTATATATTATGTGTTATTGTGGTTTTTAATTTCTTTTATCGATATTGGTAATTTGTGCAGCGACACGCGTCTAATCAATGTCTTTTTAAACGTCGATTATTTAACTACGACGTGATTTTGTTTTGATATATTATTCTCAATATGTACTATACCCACATAATTACGTATAACATTAACACAACGTCCGCTACTTAACCACAACGTTTTTAATAAAATAATAAAATACAATTAATAAATAAGTAAATAATACTAAATATAGGCATATTGCTGAATGTAAAATAACTCCAATAGTTTCCTAAAATATAATAAATTGTAATTTCAGAGAAAACGACTGAAAAATGTCATCTATTCTAACCACGATGACCATACAAATTCTTAAAAATAATGAGTAGGAAATAAATTATTATTAGTAATTTCATTTTTACAGATTCGTCATAATTTTTATTTTTCATTGCTCTAGAGATACTTAAAAAAAATTTAAAATGTTATTTGTAATAAGTGACTAATTTTATTTCTTAATGTATTGGTACATAGATGCAGAGTAATATACCTACTAGTTAGCAGTGTACTTACCTATTTGAAAACAAATTAAACATAAATTGCTTATTATTATTACCTAGCTACACCTAAAAAGGTTTAAAGTATCGGCAAATAAAAAATACAAAAATTAATTTAATTTAAGTAAAAAAATTTTTTATAAATCTTTAATGCGATTACATTTTAAACATTTTAAATTATTATCTGCGCACAGTAAATAAATACATACTGATATATTAATTGCGTGTTGGGCAATAAAAATTAATAACTACTCTAATAATTATAATTTTATTTAAATACATTTTTGAAACAAAACAAGTAAAGTTTTTATTTGTTGATTCTATTTATTATGTAATATACATTCCAAAAAAGTACACTAACGATATAAAATTCTACTTTAGAATATTAAAACAATATAGGAAATTTGAATGCACTCGATGAATTTTACGGATTACATTGAATTATAATTTATTGACCAATTAAATTTTTTACCACTAAAATAATTGTCAGTGTTAATGGTTTATTTCTTCTTTCCGACCGTAATACAAAAGAAGAGTACCTATGCATGGCGAAGTATTTAACTAATAATATAATATTACAAATAACAATGCTACAATTATTAATGAATACATAAGGTTTGTAATATTATGATATATCGTCTATGATCAATTAATATCCTAAAAATAATTCTCCTTATTTTTTCTCGCATTCAATTATCTTTATTCATTAATTAACAATTTTTTTTTTTACCTTGTAATCTTAGTAGTAAGTACTCTTATATATTTTTTTCAATGCAAGATAGTAAATATAGTTATAATAATAATATAATAAAAAATATCAATTATTTCAGAACATAAAGTGAAACTGAATACTTATCTTTTGATTTTGGACTTTAAAAGGCAATTATTCATTATGAGCAAAAATACACAATGAGAGTATTCAAGGCCGAAACACTTGTATGATATATTGTATAATTTTATTAATTATTAATATTAAGTGTTTTAAACAGAAATTAATGAAAAAGTGTACGAGTACAATACATTTTACCTTGGGAATTTAATAAGTACATTTTAGTACACCCATTGATTGATTCTATCATTGATTTAAAATAATATGCATGATATCCCAACAGTTACCTTTGTGCGCTACATTGGACTTCAACATAATGAATATACTCAAATCAATTAACGGATTTTAATAATTTCAAAATTCTTTCAATTGCCATTAAATACTCCTAATACCCTGTAGTCTAAACGTCATATAAGTAGATGAGTTATATGTAATTAAATAAATCACGTAGTAGGTACTTCAATAATTAATCGCGTTTTAAGTTAATAGATTACCACGGAACTTAAGATACGCGAATGTATAAACAAAATCGGTTTTACCGTTAAACTAAATTTTAATGGTCTTTAAATTGTTTTATAATACATTAGCTAATTATAATTAAAACAATATTCAATTGTAACCAACATTGAAGATGCTATAACTTATATGACACAACATGGTGAACTAACCTCATTACTTCAAGAGGCGACAAAATGGATACCATTAAGTCACCATGAACATAGCCCATTTCGGTTAGAGACATCGATAGCGCCCAACCGAAACGTAAGACAAAATCTTCAACGATCGCGATGTAGTAAAATGCCTGAAAATAACATTTAATTCATATTAATAGCCGTCGTAAAATGTAAATATTTCTTTAGAGTTTAGACTAAAGTTAAACATCATACGTCACCAAAATGTTGGCATGATAATAATTACATTTTCTATCCAATTTTCAACCAAAAGTTATTCCATCACAAATGAAAATATGAATACATACGCCACAAATCAATGTAAGGATCATTAAAACAATAAAACGGCAAAGAGCATTTGGGAGGTAAATCACCCACAGTCGTTCAATCAAAATCCATATTTATTTATTTATTTATTTATTTAGATATACGGGATATAAACAGCTTTTACATTTGTGACAGTTTAATAAATTACAGTATGGAATATGATAAACTAGTAAACATAAAACAATAAGCTAGTAACAATAGTAGTAGGTGGTACGCTATAGACAAAAAGAGAGATAATAGTTATGAGTAAAAGTCTAAGAAGGTAAGGTCATTATTAGCATCAGTCATCATTATAGAGACCTAAGTGGTTCGTTTTGTCGATAAGTCGTAGAAGCTCTAAGAATATACAAATTAAATCCCATAGTACCTATTATTATAACGCTTTAAGTCACTAGAATAAAATTATAATATAATTCATTATAATATCGCTTTGACCCTCTCCATCGAGAATTTAATGGAACGCCACTAATAAGTTGCTTGTTATATGCGTATAATAGATGTATGTACACTCACGTTAGGTACACGTTTTGTTCAAAATCTAGTTGTATTGAAAATTGAAATTGTATAGCATGTTATATTTACTAACTTAAATATGAAATTTTCCACAATAACGTAAAACCGTAATTTGTTTTGAATTATGTCATTATCGGTTAATAATGTTCTATCCTGTTCAACCAAAAGGCAGATGTAATACTCATTAATACAAACACTGACTATCGAGCAGTATTACATACATACCGTTTTTAACACACAAATATATTACGTGTTTTGTGGAATACCTTCGGTGCAATTAAACACGTATAAGTAAAATTACGTAAAAAATAATTTTCCATTTGCAAACATTTATTGTACAATTTTAGTGACTATATGGTATTTATTCTAGATCCTAAGACAAGGGTTTTGTTTAACTGCTTAGCTATAAATGTGTACTGGTCAATACTCAATGGTCTTACAACTATATATATTTCAGTTATTTTTGTTTGTGTGTAAACATCTATACACGCCCCTTCCAGAAAATATATGGCTGTAGTAATTTTATGCAAATGAATGAAAAAGAGGTTATCGTAACAAACAAAATGTTCTGATAACTTATCTCAGAAACTTCTTGACCGACCGATTTCAATATAATTTATATTATTATAACTTTTTAGAGACTCGAAGGGTGATTTTAACTCATTTGTTCAACCCCTATAATTATATACGGCCTATTTAGCTGATATAGGACGGGTCACGCCTGAATTTCATTTTGGCTCACCTCGAAAATCGAATATTTTTCGTTTGTATAAATGGTTGCCATTGGTTTTAGATTATATTACTATACAATCCAGTCTCGATAACTTGAATTTGAAGGAAACTAAACATTAATTCGGCTTAGAAATTTTACGATTTATGTACTTCAAATACAACTTAAAAACACTTCTAAGGGCAAGAAAAAAACTCAAGTTACTGAGTTATTCGAGGTTTGCGTTATCACAACTCAACTGTATTACTGAAGTATGGCATATTTTTCATATTTTTTATACACAATATATAGTTTCGCCAGGAAAGCGTTAAGATGTTTTCACATAAAAAAAAATTACCATGAAATTACTCACAAATAGTTTATAATATATTAATATCTACCTACCTACCAATACTATACGATATTACGATGTATAAAAATACCTAGTTTACGTAAGACTATAATAAACAAACTCTTCGATTAAGCATAAAATAAAAACATTATCAAAAATATTAAGACCTGCACAAACTTGTATTTTCACAAATAAAAATTTTAAACGGTCTGCGATCTGCGAGCATCCTAATTCATAATAATACCAGTTTAGTATAACTTACCGTCGACGAATACACGATTTCTTCACGAAGGAATCTGTTCTCACCGGCATTTCGGTCGAAAAGACCCCAGTCCATTTTTAAATCCCATATGTAAGAATACAGCGAACTGAATATGGATGCTGATATCCACAGGTAGAAGTATACGCTCGGGTCTTCTTCAGGGTTGTCCTCTATATGAATATTTAAAAAAATAATCAACGACTGTTAATAACGCGTTTAAATTTTAATCAATTATATATTATGTATGTAACAGGTACCTATCACAATACAGTTTGGGGTGATACAATACGCCTTAGTATAATAGTTATAGCTTATATCAAACCGGTAAATTTAAATTTTATTTTTTCTTAACTTGTACAGTTTAGAAAAAACGACGTGCTAAACTTTTCTGAGCCTCGTCTCCGAACACATAATTTATGGTGATTATTATAACAGTGCACCGTAGTATAGCCCCCTTAAGGGGGGAGATGGTTGGCCCGTTGAAATGAATTTGCAGTTTTTGAAATTTAGATAGGAATACTTCTTTAATATTAAATATATATAATATATAGATATATGTAGTACGCCGAGGTGGCTACCCAAAAAGTATCGTGTATGGGCATAGGCCATAAACCTTATACTATTAGTTAAGAACTGTGTATAACAACAGCATGTAACAACATCTCGCAGTGATGTATCTTTAAGAAAATAGTAAATACCATTATCTATGTATCTGTGTATCTCACCCTGTTACTCCGCACTAGCGTGCGTACTAGTAATCAAGTAATCAAAAAGGGGCCATCTAGGTTGTTAGTTTGTTACGCTTTCCATACACTCATATTCCTTGTCTAGTAGTCTAGTAGGTTAGTCCTTGTCTAGTAGCCAGTAGGCATAATATATGTATGGGACACCCGTATCGTTTCACGCTGGTAATGAGTTGTATTTAATTATTGAAAGTTTTGTACAGGCCTCGCAAAAACACTCGGTACAGGGAACCACAATTTGATGTGGGGGATCTGTAAAAGTAGTTATTTTTTCAAAAAGTATTTAACATGTTACGGGGGAAAATTAAAAATAAATTCCAATTATTTTACCTATGTTGTCATCAATTTTTTCACTCGTATGTTTGTCAGTGAAACCTCTAGTGACTTTTGGTATTAAAAAAATTTTAATTTCTGACTTGAAAATAATATTACTATTGAATATACAAATTTCGATCATACCAAAAAAAGATGTAACATATAAAAAGGTCTACAGCAGGTTTATAATATACAAAATATACATTATACAGTCGGTCATCGACGTTTTCTAGTGCTTATGGAAATTCGTCTTACTTGCATATTGAAGGTTTAGAAACGAGAACGTTATCACGAAGAAGGTAGTTGCGTACTTGGCGGCGTTGGCCAAGTGAGGGAATGCTTCTCGTGAGTCCCGGTACCTTCTCAGGCACTGCATGAACCGGAACCACGCAGGCAGACACGCGACAAATGGCCGCAATAGCCAAACGCGTTCCACGCACTTGCTACCGTCTATATCGATTGCTATACAAAATAATATAAGAAACGAGACAAAGGTGTGTTAGGTTTTAAATTGCTTGATATATTAGAAAAATTATGTACTCTACGAATCCGGGTAAATATGTCCAAACATAAATTACAACTCTCAAATTGTCAAACTGTAAAAAAAAAATATATATATGTACAATAACAAAAGGTATTTTTTAATTATTTATAGCATTTTTAGTTAAACGAAATGGACGAAATGACAATAAAAAATCGTATAAACGATTTTTCGTATCATATTTCCACTCTAAACATATTATTATAGTCTCTTCTGATGCAAATAATTAGTGTTTATTCACTTGGACATGTTTACCAGACACCACACATTCTACAGTCTACATAATACATATTATTATAAGTTATAACATTTATATTATAATATAATATTTTTTCAATATATTATATTTAATTACGATGTATATAATACATTTATATTATTAAATGAAATGTTTATGAGTAAAATCCGTTACTTTTATTGGACATCCACTTGTCGTTGGTCAAATAGAAGCACACGAGGTACTGAAAGTCCAGCAACGCGGGCACTAGGCTAGTGAGTTGGTCGGCCAGCCAAAAGTCCGCGAAACCCACATAGAAGAAAGGTGCGAACAGTATACGTACCTGCGACATAATAATACACGAGCGTGTATATTATACGAAGTTGTTTTCAAAAGTCAAAACCCATCAGTGATTTTGGCCGAGGTAACATGTAGCAATTATTTAGGCGGTCCAATGTGATATTTGGGGAAGTGTTGCGATTGTTTATAAAAAGTGTGAGTACTCAATTAGTTTAAGTGGATTATGATCGTGTTGTTACCGTAAGTCCTCGATTATGGCAATAAAAAACGCATGTGACTATAATATTATTATACATTTCCTGGAGATCGACTTTTAGAAAATTATCCATATAAGTTGATTACGAAAATGAATTGTTAAAGTAAACAACAATTTTTCTAGGTGGATGGAATAAAACTTCCTAATATTATTCTTTTTAAAACGCCAAGTTTGATTTATCATGCCCGATGGGTGGGTGAGATAGGTTATCAAGTTTGGATGATTGTGTTTTAAAAACGTAACGATTTCGTAAAAACCGTATTTTATAACATCCGGAACTTTAATGACACAGGTGCAGGCAATCAGTAGGCAATAATAATTGGTACCAATTGATTTCTGCACCCTTGATTTTTAATGAACAAACCATTTTTGAGAGGAAAGCAATATGGAAAACAAAAAAAGCACAAACAAAAAAGGATCCCCTCCTCCACTAGTATGAGTTCGTAGAACATTACAAAGCAGCTTACCGCCACCCGCAGTACCCAAAACCGGGCGTCGTGCCGTAACGTCTTGGTGGGATTGAACAGGAACGCAATCATGAGCACGGCCAGGATCAGCGGGTTTATGTACGGTGGTATGTGCAGCGCCTCGCTGTACAGGAAAATCAGCGCCGAGCCAGCCCACACCAGACCAAAGACAGTGGCCAACTCCATGATATGCTGCTCGGTGAGATGGTTCCTGGGGTCCAGCTCGAAAATGAGCACGTGGTTGACACCCGACGAACGCCAGCAGTAAACGTTGATGCCCATCAGGAATAGGAATATGACCAAAAGCAGCGGACCCCGGTATAGTCTGACCATGACCCTCCAGTCTGTGTTCTCATTGCTATGTGCAATGCCTACGAATCAACGGAAAAAAAATATATGGCGAATATAGAAATTGTTTTCCAGCCGATCGGATGATTCTGCAACAGGGACTTATATAATACTTGACCTGGCTCAAGGATACCGGTAATAAATTTACTCTCACTGACGGACTTCTGTTATGTATATGTATACAATTTATTTATAGTTATGACAATTTATTATATTATTAATAAACAATATTAGATACTGTCAACAAGCTTTTAGTCTTATCTGTAGATTTTCTATTGCGATGATTTCACCACATCGATTCATAATTATTGTCAGCAGTTTAACACGAATACTTAAAAATATATATTAAAGAAAGGCAATCCTAGTTGTATGTGTGTGTGTGTATCAAAACCATTTCTTTTTTAAGGGCTCGCAACACAAGGATTTTTTAGCTCACAAAAAAACAAATATTTTTCCGTATATAAGGTCGCAAATATTAGTTATAGAACATAAAATAATTAATATGGTTGGATATCATTTTAGACCTGTATTTTAAATTAGGTCAAAACCACCCAAGTGACTGTGGTAAAAATATGTGTAGCTTACAATTTCATGGAGCTTAAAAATGGATCAATCTCCTGAAATTATCATTACATTGTCGCGGGCAACACCACGCCGTGCAGGATCAGCTTCAGTAATCAATAAATATATCAACTGTATAAAATCAAAGGCATAAAAAGGCTATTATGCAAATCCAATTTCGATCGACTTTCATAAAATGTTAGTAAAATGTTATTACTTATTATGATTGTATATGGTTTTAGACCTGTAATTTATATTTGGTCTAAACAACTCGAATAACAGTTTTAAAAATCTGTACCGAAAGTGTCATCGATGGGTGGCTTCTTCAATCAAATTTTTCAATTTTATATTTATTGTAGCTCTTACTCTTATTGTGCCGGAGGTACATATTGTGTATATATATTAATAAAGAAAAAAAAAGTCTGTGCAATTCAGATTTAACGGTGGAGTTTAAGAAGGGGTAAATCCATTTAATTTGTCACGAGCAACGCCGTTTAGGATCAGCTAGTACATAATATGTATACGGTAGGTTAGGTTAGAGTGATGTTATTCATTTTCACGGTGTTTTATTTATATAGGTTAACTAGCAGGCAGATGCAACAGTTTTTAAATATTATACTTACCAGTGATGATAACCGCCAGCAGCATAACGACAAAAGCGCCTGAAAACAAGCCGACCTTGAACGTGATCCAAGGTGATTGCTGTTCGCCGAGTGGCGGCACTCGCAGTCTCTTCATGGCCCTCTGGCGGTCTCCTCCTTCCAGACCCTGCGTGACGGTGGCTTCGGTCTCGCTTATCAGCCGGTCGATGTCTTTGTTGCAGTAGAAATGAGCGTTTTCCACTACTTCCGATCTCCACCGACCACCGGAGCCGCCTTCTGAGCCCAGTAACTTAAACGAACGTCGCACACATATAATACAGGTAAATGTTAAAATGCTGAAAACATCTCAAAGTTGTCGTAGCGAAATAAAATATAATAAGTTTAAATCTTGAACTAGCTATGTATGTAGAATTAATTATGTAGTACGATTGGTTAATAATAGGAATTTGGACTATTTTTTAGACACAATTTTAATATTATTTAGTTTATTGCCCATTATCCATAGGTAAAATACTTTAAATATTCAAGCATAGTTAATATGCATAATAATGATACAAATGTATATATTTGTTTTTTTTTAACTAATCGTGTTTACTATTTAGCACATTTTTAAAACGTTGCATCTAGTGGAAAATTAAATTTTCTTTTCACCCGCCTAAGCACGTATACGCATAATTAATGCATTTTTTCGACATATCTAACGCGTATTACAACTGTGGCAGACATTATAACTGCAGGCTTCGAAATTTAAAAAATGTAGAGATAGGTACCAAGGAGCAGTTTTGATTCGCAATTCATACGTTATTTAGGGATCGGGCCGCAACTCACCAACACCGGCATCGGTATATTGTGTTGCAATCCGAGTTTAATAGACCAACAAAAGGTAACGTAACATAGTAATCTATGTATCTACTTAAGATTAATAAGGTTTGTCGACTTTGTATCATATATATAATAATATAGCATAATAGTTATAACGTCGTCATATTATATTATATTATATTATATATTTATATTATAAAAGGTATATTTACTCGAAAAATATATTGTTCACTCCGTAAACTCATCAGACTTAACACGCCTCATTTATTTATCATATACAATTACAATAAGATACGTACTAATTATACTACTAACCTGCACATTAGATAAAAATTAATATATTTTTCCCTAAAATCTAAGGGAAAATAAAAATGTATATCCTCAGATTCTTCATGCACCCAAGTATAACGGCAATTGCATATTAAATACTTATCGAACATTATACATTTTAGGGTTTTTTTTATAATATTACACGATCCACCGTTTATTTACATAATATAATAATGATGTAGCGAATATCGTAGAAGGTCACCGTAATAATATGTATTAAACCGAAGATAGTTATTTAGTCGATACACGGTTTACGCGAACATACAAACCGTTTAATTTTACGGCAATAATTGATCAAAATATAGCTGGTTAGTGGTTTGAATAATAACAGTGTATAAAGCAAGAGCAGTTCATAATAGTGTGTAAGACGTGCCGAATAGTGTTGTGCGAGAATGTTTAATAATGTTTTTTTCAAAAACGATAACATTTATTTTAAATAAGACACGAAAAATTATACACGGTGCATTATAATTTATTAATCATCGTGTTCACACGCTACACTGTTCTTAAGACATAAAATACGTTTCAACCAGAATTATTACATTTACAACGAGGACGAAGACGCCTGAGGTGATCGAAATTGATTGATATTGGTATAAATTGGTAACCCAGGTACAAATTTCTAATTAATATAATATATAAATCAAAGTGCATATAATCATAACATCGAGTCGTCGATTATAGATTGGCATAAGTAGATAGGTACATCGTACATAATAAAAAATAATATGAAGCTCTGCAGGTACCTTGTCATGTTTTTTCATAATCTTCCGAAAGCCGGTGTAGTTTAAATTTTGATAGTTCTGCAGCAGAATCAAACTCAGATAGAATTCGCTGAAAGCTAACTTCAGTTCTTGGGTCTTACGCGTCGTGGTGTTTTTTCGAAGAATTTTCCGTTTTACCGGCTTCAGATTACCGCTGGAGTCTTTAGGTTTGATTTTGTCATCTTGAGCCTCTCTCAGGTCACTCTGAAGGTTGGCAAATTTTCTGGTCGCTTCCGCCAATTTTTCTACAACATAGCAAATGCAATGCTATGGTATAGTAGACAGTGGACGTAGTACAGTATATGATCCTATTTAGGATCTTTTTTTTTTTAAGGGGGGAGTGAGTTTAAATAAATTTGGATTCAGCTGTTAGTGATTAGTGGTTCAACCCCTCCCCCCTAGAAAAAAAATTCAATACTATATACACCTCTAAGTTTGATACTAAATATGCCTACGTTACAATTTTGGGGTTTAGACACCCTAAATCCCCTAATATATATCACCCTGATACTACCTACAGCTTACTAGGTAGATTTTAGTTGAAAACGTGAGTATATATTATTACTATATAATTTATTATACGAGAAGTTCGATCAAAATTTCAAACATGATCCATCAATTATTCGCATTTTAAATAATTTGGTATATTACCTATATTAGTATCTGACACAGTAAATCGTGTCACAGTGATTGTAATTAAATCCAATTCAGGTGAATTTCGAAAATTTTGAAGTCAAGAAATTAGTAACCTTACCTATCCTATGATTTTAGATTCTGAGGAGAGCAATGAATGTATTGGTTCATCGATCATGTGTTTTTTTTTTGTACCTATTAAGGCACTTTTTAATTAAGAAAAAATGTTCCCACCTTCAAGGCTTCAACTAAGTGCGAAAAGATCTCTGATAGAAAATGTATCAAAATTATAATATGCCGTAGATACTTGAAATTTTCAACAAATGTCTAAACATGCATTTCTAAACATGATAAAAATTTTAAAATATTTTCAAACTTCTTGAACTAACTAGAAACATTTTCGATATTTTTCAATTAATTTTAGCTTTTATTCGATTTTTGTATGGTAACATTCGTGTTTGAGAGGAAAAAAACTTAAAAATTTAAAACATGATTCCTCATTAGTCTTGTGACTAAAAACTAAAAAAAGAAGTTTAGATTAAGCCCACATACATTTTTTATGATCGATTGAAGTTCAAATTTGGAAAACATTCGATATTCACACACCCACTTAAAAATCTAACGATTTTTTTGTGGTTTACATACTTGAAAAATTAAACATAACATGATTATTTAAATTATTTTCTATGCACAAAGACATTTTCAAAATATTTACTCTAATTTTAAGCTATTAACAATTTAAAATCATCGATTTTTTTCTCTTTATGTAAATAAAACATTTTATGCTCAGCCAGAAAGTTTGAAGATTAAATTCAAAAACATATTGTATTTCTAATAGTTTTTTTTTATAAGTGTTTAAGTTTCAAATTTTGACGAAGTTTGTAAAAACTACAACAACTTATAAACTATTTTAAATATTGAATTTAACATTTTGACAACATAATATTTAAAACCCGCTTATTATTGTTATTATTATTATTATTATTATTATTATTATTATTATTATTATTATTATTATTATTATTATTATTATTATTATTATGTAGACATTTGAGCTGAAAAGGAATCTCCTTAAGATCGTTTTTTTTTTCATCGTATACAATAATAATTTATCACTGAATTAAAATTTAGCCATTAGGATGACCTACCTACTTACTGCAGTACACTATCAACTATAGCCTATAGGTACTATATAACAGAGCGAATCTTATACATATTTTAAGCTTTCAGTTGTACTCTATACCTATAATAATATTATTAAATATTAATATTTAATATTGTTAAGGAAATGCAACCATAATTTATTAAACAAGTTAGTTTAGACTGAATTATCAAAAATGTAGATAAGAAATAGATATGGTTATAAATAAACAAAGGAAAATATTAAAAGCTAAAAAGTATTTAATAAGTAAGTTATTTTTATGTCGTAACAGCTGGTATACCTACTTCTAAGTATTTTTGCCAGACAATCAGTTATTGTAGGTATTATGTACCTATCAATCAAGTATAAATACAAAATATGGTAATTAGAAGTCAGTAATTTCAATTATCTAAGTTCGGTCTAGTCATGAATTTTCGATTTTCGATTTTGAACATAATCCATAAAATATAATGTAGGAGTGTTTTATGAAATTTTAACCCCCTCCCCACACAAAAAAAAAAGTTTATTACCTATATAGAATATTAAAAAATTATTTATTGGTATAATAGCTAATAATCACACAATATTATGTAGCTTTTTAGTATATATTTTTAACTCAATTCTTAGAAATGAAAATAATTTATTTTATATAAATAATTATTATTATTCTACGAGTATGGTCTGCTATTGTTTTATATAAGATATTATAGTAAGTACGATGCAGTATATTTACACGCCGCTTACGAATAAACGGAATGAAAATAGATTTTTGTAATCGTCATCCTTATAATTCAGTGATGAAAAAATTCACTGGAAAATCTTGGCGAGAGCGCATGTCCCATGGATAACCATAATAATATATATGTGCCGTGAAACTTATTGGCAGAGGTTTGCACAAAATATTATGTTATTATAACATAAAATATTTTAGTCGTCATATTTATTATGGTATATTCATTGATATAGAGTGGTTCATACTTCATAGAGTGGTTTAATAAAATATTATTGTATAAATATATATATTTATATTATACTTGAGCCCAGCCGACTAGCTAAATGAGTTTGTTTGCCAACAATCGGACTCAAGAAAGAAAACGATTTTAAATTATATCATGGCACAGCAAAAGCTGGCATTAAAACTATTCCTTGTGAATAATTATATCTATCTATAAATATTATACATGGTTAAACATATTAAACTATAAAGGGTAATTTTAGATGTCGAAATAGTATTTAAGTACATATTTAACGTGTTATGATTATCTATATTTTACGGTGTTGCATTATATTATATACTGCAGGTACCTAAGTATATTTTTTTAATAAATTTATTTGTAAGAAAATACGAAAAATCAATTATATATTATAAATTTATATCCACGTTATAGATTCTAAATTTGCATAAATAACTTACCTACCATAGGTAACTAAGTAAAAAAAAAATTCGAACTCAAGTAATTTAATTTGCATTTTTAAATGATTCATATACAACACTCCACACCTATCTATTTATTTGTTCGTAATTGTAATATTGAAAGTTCAAAGAGAACTACATAAGTAGGTGAATCGAGGAAAAAAGCCCAAAAAAATTAACATACCACCGAAAAAAGTATTATGCAAATAAAGCTCTCAGAAAAAAGTTTAAATATAAAATATATGAACACAAACATAATATATTGTGTTATAAGTTAAAATTTATAATTAAAAATTGTTTTATATTGAGTCATTAGATAATTAATGATATTATAATATAGAACCTACAGTCAAAAAACCATCAGTCTTAGCCCTTAGGCATATAGTATATACTACATATTACATACTAACAAAAATTACACAACTATAAAAATAATATTATAATAGGTCAATACAAAACAGACGGTAGTACCCATAGTATTAGTTCATTGCTCAAGTTTAATGCAAGGGGAATAGATATACACCAATGGACCTATTTTATTTTATTTTTTATCTTAGTACCTAACATCAGCAGCTACTAGGCCATTAGTTGTTATTATTATCTATGATTATTATCTGTTATCTATATTATTTGCTATTAAGTATTATGTATTATGCTTTTTCGAATAAAAATCAACTAAAAAATAATAAAAATAAAATAGTACAATATTGTATGGTACTCGCGTGGACCTTTTATTTCCTTGGGCTTTTTTCCGACTACTAAGTAGGTACCTATGACCTACACTATGCTTCGTTTTATAAAATCCTCTGTATTTACTTCTTTTTTGGTCACACAAAATATACTGTTTTCAAATAATAGTTATTAAATTTCAAATCGATTCGTTTAGTTAATGTACCTAACTAAAAAATAATCAATAATAATTGTACAGATCATCTATCATACATTATTATTTAAATGAAAGAAATCTATAATAATACATTAATACTAATACAGTAATGCGTTAAGACAATTAAGTATTTTAAAAATACTTCATCCCACCACTTTTCTGAACTAAATCAACAGGAATAAAAATTAACATAACACAATATTTCTGCGTCCATTTTGAATTGTTGGGTATTTAATTTCCTAATATTCAAGTAGGTACCTACCATAAGAATATTATGAACGTAAATCATAATTACGCGCATTTATTTGTAAACGTATTATGTAACAATGTAACAAATAAGTTATAAGTTATTATAGGTACTATTAAAAAAAATTATGTACATGCTTTAATATACAATAATCATACAATTAAATTTGATGGAAAAAGAACTGATTAAGTTTAATTCACGTTCGACAAAGACAATTTCTATGATACACTGAATTTTCATCATCCGTTATTGAACAATTCTACTTTTAATCATCAATGCATTGATGTATACGTTAGTATTTAACTTTTATCAATTAAATTGTACAAATAATGTAGGTACCCATTAACAATGTATTTTAATATCCACAAGTCTATAATATAATATATATTATACATAGTATATAGGTGCACTTATCATAACTCATAACTCATAACTCATAAGTAACTTACCTATGTATCTACATTGTTCATGTACATTATATAGGTATGCAATTATGCAAACTCCGTAAGGTATGCCAACATTGTCAGTGACATACAATTTTTTTTTAATGCTGATGAATATTATAATGTACTTAAGCACATTGTGTTTTATAGATATACTTATAGGTAAGTGATTTTTAAATAAATAAAGTGCAAGATACCTATCAGGTTTAATCCAGTATAAGTAGGTACCTACCTACCTACTTAATTACTTAACTTTTATTATTTTATTTTATTCAAGTTTTTATGTTTTCGGTTAAATATACTTGTAAGTAATTCAATTTGCCTCAAAATATAAATGACAAATAATTATCTTAGCAAAAAAGAATAAACAAAAAATCGGGGAAATGGCTCTGCTGCATAGTAGGTTTGGAGTTTACCTCGTCATTGAGTAGGTAAGTCACTGTAATGGATGTTTTAAATTTGCATTCAATGATAAGTCGATTGCATACGAAAAATGACAAGCGGATACGTGTATCAATTATCAGCCTCTATTTTTAAGGATATTTAATAATCAATTTATATTGCGTACTTAATACCTACCCATAAATAGTAATTTTTTTTTACATTATAAATAGAAGTAACTTTTAAAAATACAAAAACTTCAAATGTCAATAAAAAAAGGGGGCGGATGTATTTACTATATTTTTTAATTCATGTACGACTGATGAGTATCAGCATGCATACAATTAAATGCCAATAAAAAGATTTAAATTAGTCTAAAACCATTACAATTTATTAGATCCGCACAGAATCTAAAATAATTTGGTACCCACCCAAATCTAAAACTTTAATCATTACAATCATTTATTATATTTTAATATGAAGATAAATTGCACAGTAAGATACCTAGAACTCAGTAAAATAAAAATGTTTTAATACATATTTAGTTCGTTCTAATAATAACTATCATATCGGTACTATTATGATATGTGGTAGGTACTAACACACTGAAATTAGTACTTACTTACCTACCTTCCTATTTATATATTTCGACATAAATCCTTCTACATTCTATTAGAATGTTTCAAATGAAATAGCTACAAGTTACCTACAACTACTATAAATACAGCTAGATGCTAATTACTTTGAATAGGTGGGTAGGTAGGTACATCTTATAATTATTATTTAATCTTTAATTTTTAAATTAGTATGAGGTCAATCGATTCCAGTCAAGGTGAAAACTGAAAAGATGGAAAATGTACCAATATTATTTTTACAAAACGACTAAATTAAATCTTGTAAGTGTAAATGCAATTTGAGCTTTCGATGTTCAATTTGTTGTCCTTGTTAATAAAAATGAAATTTTCATTTACTCAACGTAACTTGTGCGCTCATTAGTACATATATATATAATAGTTGTGAGTTAATATAGGTAGGTTATATGTACATACTTTGTCTTTTTTATAAATAATCAGCATACAATCTTAACATTAAAATGCTGTGCATCATATACTGTAAGAAATCTAGAACTTTTAACAACTAATTACAAGTCGCATACTACGCAGTAAGTACATATAACATTATAACAAGTAGATAGTTGAGAGAATGTCAACTATAATATCATTTTTGTCTCTCAATCTTAAACACCCTTAAACAATGGTAATAATAGCAAAGGCCTTAAAAAAATGTAAACACAACCTGTTACAACAATTAATAAGGATTTAACAATTTAGTGTTCATTTCTATACTTAAATTATTAAAAAAATTAATGATTTAATAATTGTGAACTTAATTGACAAAGAGTCTAAAATTATTAAAAATCAAATGTGGAAAAACACTTACTGCCAAAAAATGTAATTTCATATTTTCTGTTCTTACTCCTTAGTGCATTCTATCAAAATATGTTTTGTGTATCAAATTTCAATAGTTCAGCCACAACATTAGACATTCTAAGCACAGTTTTGCTGTATTCAATAAGTATGAATTTAACTATTAGACTTTTTTTAAATTTCTTAAATTTGAAGTCAGCTATTAGATATTTTAAAACTTTAAAATCATTTAACGTATTATTTTATATCACAATTTTTGTACCGATTTGATAGTTTTACTGTTTTTGCAACAACTTATGAATATAGTATTAAACATCATTTTTTTTCTATCTTATTCTTGGTCTTACATTTTGTATCAACAATCTATAAATAATAGTAACAATAATTAATGTATTTATTAAAGGTTATTAGAAATATTAAATGCAATTTTTTAAATGTTTCATTGTCTCTTATGATATTATCTCAAATATGGAATAGCGTTCACATTGTGAAACTTGAATTCATATTTTTGATCATGGGTTATTATATATACTGGTTTTTGTTTTTATTTCTGGTTTTAATGGTTATCAGATATTGGATTGATTAATGATTTGGATTTTGGGTGCAAAGCTCTGATTTGTGGTAAGAGTAAATTACAGTGATAGGTGAAATATTTTAATAGGTATGCCTTGAGTATGTCGAAGTTCAACATCAAAAACAATTTACAGTGCATAAGTAAATCTAAAAATAGCAATTAAATAAAAAATATAAAATAATTAATACAAACTTATATTAAAACTCAATAAATATACAATATTTGTATATCAGACTTTTTGTGGATAGGAAATTTATAATTTCATTAAACTAAAATAAATGCATGAATAACTTTTAATTATTAAAAATAACAAACGAATAATTAAATTAAATATAAATATAAAAACATTAAATCTATATACTTTTAATATTTACTTTCAGGAACTTAATAAATTCAATATAACATTCTTTTAAATTACAACTAGGAACTATAAGTAGGTATATTTTTATATTATAGCAACTGTTGTAATTAAAACTAAAATACTGAGATATACTTATATATCAGCTGATGGTATAAATTATCCAAATTTAAAGATACCTATGTGCTATATATTCAATCAATTAGTCAAATTATAATTTAATAATGAATAGGTTTATAAATTAAACAACCCAGTTCAATTACTAGAAACAATATAGAATTTGATATTTTAAATATAAAAACAACGAATTATAACTTGTGCACAGTGAATCAGTATCAGTACACAATGTTAGGTTAAAAGTATACATAGTATAAATGCACTCATGATGATACTTTGTAAGAGTTACAGAGTTACACAAAACTATATTGTGAAGTTGGAAGTGTTCTACGCACTGTTAACCGGGAACACCCTCACAAACTATTCTAATATTCATGCAACCGTAACATGCACAAATGATACAATTCTACGAATTGATGAAATAGCAGCAGCCTTCAAATGATGAGAATCGGGTGAACTCTAATATGGGGGTGAACACACACAGAGGTAGGTGTCAAACAAAATCATAAATGCTGTTCGAAACCTGAATAGAACGTGTTGATTTTAGCGAGTTCTTTGTCGCAAAAACTGAAAAACTTTTCGTCGAATTTGGCATAATATCGTGAAAGAGAATCGGGGTCCACTTGTTCGGGCGCCGGCACCTGTTCGATGGCAGCGTACAGCATTTCCTTCATTTCCTGCAAAACGCGACAGATTAGCTACACATCCGAAACATTGTGTTAAAAAATGAATACCGTCGTGCATCGTAGTACCTATATTGTTATATTTTATTGTCGTATAATATTATTATTAAAATATTTTGACCTACTTCATAACTGATGTATTGTTTTCTCCACTCGGGAGTGATGTGCGCTGCCAAATGCTCGGCGAATTTCATCTTTTTCGCTTTTCGACAGTCCGACTGTAATGGCGTACCCGTGGATTGGGAAACGCGAAATTAAACGTTTCCTGAGCGAATGCAAAGCCAATTGAATTGCCCGCCGTTTACGACTCGGTAACTCAAATCGATACGAGTCGTCGTGAATGGGAATGTTGATAAATGATCGGAAATCAAAATCAAGGAAAAAACCAAAGCCGTGGAGGAAAAACGCTGCGAAGGGGCTGATAAATATAAATAGATAATAAATTGTCTATGCTGATAAGACATTGCCTCTGCCGCCGGTTGATAAGGCGTTAGGCGCAGGGCACCTCAATTTTGAATATTTGAATTTTCCGATTCCACAGATCACGATGTCGAGTTGCTGCGTCGCTTTTTTCAAGAGATCTGTGAGTACTCACGGCTAACGGATTATATTCATACTATGTTAATCTAACCCTTGGTTAATTATCCGGTTACGATTTGTCGTAGATTTTTTCCTCCTATTTTGTATATTTTTATTTTATTTTCGCTTTCAGTATGCGACCAAAACGAAATTGACTACCATCTTCAACGAAGATGTACGTCAGATGATATCTCGTGAAGAAATCAAAGCCAGGAAACATCCTGGAAGGTGTAACCTCAACGCCAAACCTTTTCCAGAAGACTTGACCGATGCCGTCCTAAAAACTCTAAAAGGTCAAAACAATAAATAAACATGATTTACCTATTCCTTTTTTCATAAACATATAATTGAGAATTCTATTTCAATGCTATATTTATGTAGGCGGGCAGTTGAAAAACGTGATGAGTGACAGCCAGCTATTGTTGAACTACCTGCACAGCAGACACAGTCCTGTTGAACAAAGTGAAATAATGGAAAAAAAGCAACAGAACAGAGTTGAATTGGAAAAAAAATGTATGTACATTTTGAGTAAATGAGAATTTTATTAATGTATAATCTAGTGTTGTACAATATGGTGTTGTACAATTTTATCCTATAATACATTTGTAACATTGGTATATTATTTTTATAACAATTTTCAATATTTGTGTTGTAAGTTTTTAGTTCCATAATCCTAGATTATTTCTTGAAACATAATGAATTCCACTATTAAGAGAATTTATTTAATTTATTCATCAGAATTACGGGTAATTATAAAAAAAGACTCCCTTAGATAGTAAAGTTCATAAGATTGGTATTAAAAAAAAAATGTTATCCAACAGTTTTTAAGTATTATTATTAGTTATACATTCCTAAACAAAAATGTGTCATAAATACTCTCTCTTTGAAGCTATTGGTTACAAGTGTAGTTAGTAACCCACATATTTTATGATGTGTTATTTAATGATATTAATGTACATTTATAAAATTGTGGGGATTGAATGCCAAAATTATTTATTTTCTATATAATTATTAAGACCAAATATTATGAGGTTTCAGATTACACTGAAAACATGAGTGAAGAGCGACAGATCAAATTTGAAAAATTCATCAACAACCGTGTTGAAAGACTTGTCGCTCAAAGGACATATAATTGGAAACCAATTGATTATAGCAACAAACATGTATGCCACCAGTACTTGCTGTCACGTATTGCTCCAGAATATAATGTCATAAAAACAATATTTAGTGAATTACAACAGAGAGATCCAAAATTTGCCCCAGAGTCACTGTTTGATTTTGGTTCTGGTATTGGTACAGTTACCTTGTACGTTTAATTACTTTTTCACTAAGGAAGACGTTAGCGTAACATCTTTTACTGTCTCTATCTATCATGTACTTACAACAAATCCAATTTATACAGTACTCATTTAGTAGCTAGCCAACCAGTGCAAAATAGGTAAGTATGATATATTAAAACATTTACTCTGAATGTGTTAGTGCAGTGCCCTATGTATAGTTTTTTCAATATTAGTTGGAATAACTTCACTTGGTTATAAGTTAATAACTATACTATTAAACAATTTCTTTGTAAATATGGTATTCTTTTAGCAGAAATGCAAGCAAAGAGCTGTTTTTCACTAATGAGTATCTGAAAAATAAAGATAGCTAATGTTACGCTGACATTATCTTGGTGTTTGCATTCTTTAAACTTAATTGTTTTTTTTTTTTTGCCCTTTAAAATATTTATAGAAATGCAAAAAATATCTGGGAGGACTCATTAAAAGAATATTATTGCGTGGACACTTCATCGACTATGAATGATCTGGCAAAACTTCTTTTGCAAGAAGGAAATCCAAATAATGAAAATATATTGCCTAAAGGTCTGTTTTACAGACAATTTTTACCAGCATCGCCAAATGTATGGTTAACATTATATATTAATTTTCAAAGTGTCAACAATATATTAAAATTAAACTGTTTAAAAATAATGGCTGTTCTGTTATGTTCTCAGTTAAAGTTTGATCTCGTCGTTTCTGCATACACTTTGTTTGAACTGCCAGACATTAAAAATCGATTTGAGACACTTTTAAATTTATGGAACAAGACAAAAAAATATATTGTTCTCGTTGAAATGGGAACGAGAGCTGGGTTCAACTTGATAAACGAAGCCAGAGACCTTCTTCTAGAAATATCTTCACAAAACAATACCAAAAGTCATGTATTTTCACCGGTAATATTTTAATAACTGTTCATTTATTATTTAAAGCTTTTAACAATAATTAGTGATTTTACCAATGATTCAATTTTCTATAGTGTCCTCATGAACACTCTTGTCCACGTTATGATACTGATGACACACCTTGCAATTTTGAAGTGACTTACTATACACCAAGAATAGCTCAACAATCTGTAATCAAACGAGAACATTTTTCATATGTAATCATTAAAAAAGGCTAGTAAATATTTCTGAACCTAGTTTGGCGATTACCTTTTTAACCCACTTTTTAATCATTATAGGGGAGAGACCAAAAACTGATGAACAGTGGCCACGCATAGTAAGACCAGTTTTGGTACGTTCAAAGCATTCTATCTGTCGAATGTGTACAAGCAGTGGCAAATTGCAAGAAATTATATTCACTGCTTCCAAAAATGGAAAGTATGTAATTCAAATTTTATTACATGATAGAATATTATAAGTTATTTTGAAACACTGGCAATGTAAGTTTATGACCATCCACCTCAAAGTGTGACATTACTTGAAGGCGCTTCTAGCCTAGTAGAATACTGTCAGCGTATTGTTGAACATTAGAGTTTAGAATAATTTGAGTGGTTGAGCATCAAATTTTAGAAGTGTATATTTTTAAAACGAGTCTTATTTGATAGTCATAATTTTAAATTAACTTTATAAAGTCAATCATGAAGACATAAATGTGCATTAAATATGAGATCATAATATTTATATAGATAAAAACAAATAGTTTTTCTTAACTTGTAATAATTTATATTTTAAATGCATGGTTATGTTTATTGTAGTTTAAAAAAAGTTTGTAACCCGTTTAATAAAAAATGTAGGAAATAACTTAAATTATTAAAAATGTTATATGCATATCTTTAGTCTTTATCATGCCTACCAGCTGTGGAAAATATTATTACAGTTGTATGGTAGGTACATTAGATACAATACAAACATACTACCAGTGGCCAACTCAGGAATGGGTTTCAATGGGGGGGGGGGGGGCTAAACAAAGTAAATCAAAATTTTATATCTGTTACTTTATGCTATGTAGTTATTACTATATCCCGTAACCATAATTACCTCTACAAATAATTGACAATATGCAAAATGTTTCGTCACAATCGTTTTCAGAAATATCATGGTTTGTACTTTGCCTTTTATTAAAATGACACGGTCAGTGGGAAGGGCTGAAGTCTCCTTAGCCTTCCCCTGAGTATGTCACTACATAGGTAAATAATTTAGCTGTGTAATCAGTATCATAATACTCACCCAAAACACCGAAAATGGGATATGACCTACCAAGGTATTTTGTGACACCTATTCGATATAATCTTATGAATGACTAAGTTATAATTTACATGGTCTTAGTAAAAAAGTAATGTGATTGGCACATTTTGTATACAAGACATCAGTGGCGTGCTCAGGAAATTTCAATGGGAGGGGGAAATATGTTATAAATGTTTAAAAGTAATATCCATAGACATATATAAATGTTTATATATGTCTATGGTAATATCTAATAAGTTGAAGTCAACAAAAAAAGTCAATGGGGGGGGGGGGGGATATAACCCCTAACCTCGCCCCCTTGGGCAAGACATGCATTAGAATAATTTCTGAAAAGCATTGAATGTGGCGATATGCCATAAAATATAATAATAATAATTTATTGTAAAAAATAAGACAATTTTCAATAAGGAATAACGCTCTTTATGGACATAGAGTACAGACTGTATGCAGTAAAAACTAAAAATTATAAAAAAAATGTAACAAATATTGATATTTTAATTACTGACTAGAAATCCAAAATTAAAATAAGAAAATAAAATATAATTCATAAAATGCAGCACTTCTTTGTGTATCGATTAATCGTCTAAGTTTATAACAAATTACTTGTTATATTGTACGGATATCAGATAGACAATGTAAGTTGACATCTGCAATATGTTTCATTAAAAAAAAAAACTAATGAATTTTTGGATAAATAATTATTATTAGAGCTCAGATTTCAATGCATTTGCATCTCTCTTTTGGAATGTCTCTGAGCTTTCCAAGCTATGAATATGTTTCATGTATTCTATGTTGCAACCAAAAAATATTTTGGGGGCATTTGTATAGGATTTTATACTTTTTATGGAATTGTTGACCTTTTTAATGCATTTTTAAATTTTTTTAAGACATTCTTGACATATTTATTGTGTTATAACTAAAACAATTGACTTCATTGAAACTTGGTAATTTAAATCATTTTCATTTTGAATTATACAACATTAGTTAATCTGGTTTTAAATTAGACGAGGCTGAAATTTATCTTTTGTAACACCAACCAATTAGCAGATTTAAATGCAGACAACCTTTATCGGAATATTACTGCGTAACACAAATGTAATTTGTCAAGTTTAATTTTCTACTCATTTTTGTATAATATTCTACATAATTTTGCATGTTAAATGCACTTTTTGATATTTTTAGGGCATTTTTCATTTTTTAGGTCGTAAATGCACTATTGAAAGGTCATTTCACTACGAGCTTTAATTATTCTCGTATAATAATCGTGA